GCCTGAGCTGAGCTTCACCGGTTATCCCTGTGGCTAACCCTAACCCTAACCCTAACCCTAACCCTAACCCGGCTGCAGGTCGAGCTGGGAGCTGCCTCAGCTGAGGGAGGGGCTGGTGAGGGCCATCAGCGACTCGGACGGGGTCAGCTACCCCTGGTACGGGAACACCACGGAGACGGTGACCATCGTGGGCCCCACCTCCAAGCCCTCGCGCTTCACCGTCAGCATGAACGACAACTTCTACCCCAGCGTGACCTGGGCCGTGCCGGTCAGCGAATCCAACACGCCCCTGCTGACCGGCATCAAGCGGGACCAGAGCTTCACCACCTGGCTGGTGGCGCTCAACTCCACGACCCGGGAGAGGATCCTGCTGCACTCCGTAAAGTGGCGCATGCGGGTGGACATCGCGGTGGACCCCGCCCGGCCCCTGGGCTCCAGGGCGCGCTTGGTGGGGCGCGCCCAGCAGGACCAGCCCCGCGTTCTGACGCGAATGGAGCCCGTCCCCCACAACGCCATGGGCAGGCCCAACGCCAACGACGCCCAGGTGCTCATGTGGAGGCCCCGCAGGGGCCCCCCGCTGGTCGTCATCCCCCCCAAATAGCAGACGGACGCAGATAAACTCAGAGTCCAGAGGGGGGGGGGCTGCCTTAATTTCCTCGCCGCTGCCTTTGACGAGCCAGAAGAAGTGTTGGTTTTTGCCTCAGGTGCTGCCGAGCCTCCGATTGTACGGGCGACTTTTAATGTCTTCAGTGTAAGGATGTAGCTACTCAGGCTCCTGGAGGAGTCTCCACCCGGGCGGCTAGTCTCCACCCGGGCTTTAGACCTCCAACCTGGGCGGCTAGTCTCCACCCGGGTGGCTAATCTCCACCCGGGTGGCTAATCTCCACCCGGGCTGTGTGTGAGGCTCCACCCGGGCGGCTAGTCTCCACCCGGGCGGCTAATCTCCACCCGGGCGGCTGACCTCCACCCGGGCTGTTTCTGAGGCTCCACCCGGGCAGCTAGTCTCCACCCGGGCGGCTAGTCTCCACCCGGGCGGTGGCTAATCTCCACCCGGGTGGCTAATCTCCACCCGGGCTGTGTCTGAGGCTCCACCCGGGCGGCTAGTCTCCACCCGGGCGGCTAATCTCC